CGTTCAGGGAATATCAAATTATTTGTCATTAAGCTGCCGTTAACGATTGGATTGGCGAGAGCACGCCATCGACCGGCGAGCGATACGCTGGATTCCAATGCGAAATGCGGAGCGCGAGAATCCGCACGAAGTGAAAATCGGCGAGTCCGTTAAACAGGGACATCACAATTTAACGGTCACGTCGATACCAATTAGAGTCAATTGCGGTCAAGTGAGAGCAAATTCTACCAATGTCGGCTAGTGCCGATCATAACTACATTGTCTACCGTTGCCTGATTGAATTGTCCATCAATTGTCTACTCCGTAATCAATATCGCAATATTACACAAATAAAAATCCAGAGAGAGAAGCAACGATAATGGCGGAATTTGAAAAACTTCGCAAATCAATTGTTAAACTCGAGATTTTCGTATGCTAATACTTCCAAGTCATAAATATTGCCGTGCAAATTTTATTTCCTACCAGTAAATTCTATCTTTAGACTCTAATCAGACTTTATACTCCGAAGTTAACTCGAGCGATGTTATTTACACGCATTAAGAAGATTTAGAGAGTTTACGTATTTCTTTTTCTGCTTGCGTTATGCGGAGAGCAACGCTAATCCATAATCCAGGGAAAGGAAGGCAAATGCCAAAGGCGAACTGACTCGGCTCCCGGCTGCATCCGCGCAAAGGAGAGCAACGAGAGATTATCAATGGTTTTCCCGGAAGAAGGACAGACTATACGATACTACCTACGATCGGTCACGTGATACGCCCACGCTCATTCACGATCATTCAAAAATTCGCCGGGCCGTGCCACGAGGGGGGCCGCGGCAATGATGCCGCGTAAGCGGCGGCATAATCAAAACACGAGCGTCATTATCGCCGGTGCGTGACGGTGCGCGACGACAGGTGTTTTTAATCGCGTACGCGAACGCGTGCGAGAGAGAACCTTACGTTAGAGAACGCGTACGTACGCGATGCGCGGAGAATCGATCGAACGCGCACCGCACACACGAGCGTTACGAAGAGGCACACGGTCGGCGTTGCAAAGTTGCGATGCGGCCATGGAATTTACGACACGCGCGGAACGCTCGCCGCACGCGTCCCGGCGTCGCGGCGCGTAATCGAAGTGTTGACTTCACTCACCCGAATTCCGGATCCTCGCCGGATGGAGTACACGATACACACACCACAGCACCACAATCCGCAATAGCCCGACACTCGGCTAACCCCCTGCCAAGATTTGACACAGACCACACGGACGACAGCTGTTCGCGGTTGCGCGCACGGCCGACAGACAGCGCGCACGTCGTTACAGCGCGGGAGAAGGAGAAGGGATAAAGTCAATTGAACCGTCCGAGGATGATATCTGGATGAGGAGAGGAAGGAATGTTGAATATATAGTAAAGATTATATTTTAAAAAATACAAGTTGTACAACTTTTACTCACTGAACGAAAAAAAGCTGTTTCCTAAATAGTCTCCTCAATAATTTTCAAACATATTCGATCAAGAACATGATCTTTTTTTCCTAATCCAGGATGAATTACCAGATCACTCATAATATTGCAATTTTTAATTATTATAAATATTTTAATAATTATTGCTGCGTTATATTAGATGATGATTACACTGTAAAAAAAATGTTATGTATTTAGACAAATTACATGAGCAACTATAATTATTAATGTAAAAATATATGGACAAAATTTGTATTATTAGCTCTAATTTGAATTTGTGGCACCTTTTGTTAAATTGTCGAATACCGAGAAAATTTATGAAAGTAAATTTGGGTTCCAGTATTTGAATTAGTTTACTTCTGTTAGGTTTTATGTCGTTAAATTACACATCTCCGCAAGGAAACAGGCATTTCTCAAAATTTTAGGTCGAGTAACTTCTTATTTAAAATAAGGAAATATATAAGTTTGTGACAAATAATATAATGCAATAGTATGTGGATATATCTAAAAACGAAATTAGAGAAGAAATCTTTGAATCGGCGCAGAAAAAGAGAGAGAGTAGGACCTTTTATTATCAACATTATTAATACAATGAAACAGATGGTAGTATTATACAATAAAATAGTACCGTTTTACACTGCAGCGCCGTAAAATTTCTCTCGTACATACTTTGCATTTGTTGAATCCTGTATTGTGTTTTGATCTTGCTCCTTCCTCACAGCGATATGTAATCCTTGAGTGTTTCGTCAATCTCGGGGGTGAGGGTGAGCATCAGTTGGTCGAATTGATTTTCCCCAACTATACTTCGCAGCGTGATCAACTAACAATTTCAAAAGAGCCTTCAGTATCTGAGCAACCAAATCAAATAACAAAAGAGAATTTGCGAGATTCTTACCTGACTTTGGAACGTATCTTTCAAGGCTATAGTATGCACAGGATCGCTGTAATCAAGTCTCCTCTGTCGCTGGGCGTGCTCAGTTTCGTAATCTACATCCTCCAATTGCGATGGGCTGAGTTGTTCGGTGATCATCAAGGAACTAAAACAATTTTTGTTCCAACAGTTACATATTTTGATAAAAAGTCAAATGTTTTATTCTATGAAAGCTGTACTCTGCTCAATCAAAGTAATTGCAACATTAAAATAAATATAATGGAATATTTTTCGATAGCAACAGCTACAAAATAATTCTAAACAATTATAAAAGAAGTTATTCATTTCTAATAAATATTATAAAATCATTGTAATAATATCACATGACTGTCAGAAATCACGATTCCTTTAACTTTATATCGTGTAAAATAAATGTTCAAATCTTACTCGACAAGATAACCCATATCGTCGAACGCGGAGACGTCGTTGAGCGTCTCGACGATATTCGATATTATCTGTGGAAAGTATTCGAGAACCGTGGGTGGACTGTTCGCCCCGAGAAGGGAGCAGAGCGCGAGGGCTAGCAATTTACGCTTTTCGGTCTGAGGCACCAAAGGCATTCCGTAGACCCATCCGCGTATCATCTTTCCGAGTACAACCTCTTCCCTCGTTTCGGTTTCTATACTCTGAGATAGGTCCCTGATAACCTGCAACAGTATTCTTCTATCACTAAACGAGTCCGCGTAATCATACACAGATGGAACTTTTTTTCTCACCTGTACAAAAATATCTCGAGCACCTAGTAAAACTCTCGCGACGATGGATAGGTTCATGGTCATGACCATCGGGTACTCCTCGCCGTTATAAACGCTCCTGTCAACACATCGCGTCGCATTCCAAATCTCATTCGATACAGTTGTCTCTAAACATAGTCTCTTTAGAAAAAAAAACGTCTACTTACTCGAATATCTTCAGCAAAATGGGCTTGATCAGTTCCGCGCCCTGCTGAGGGGAAGCTCTGAGACAAACCTCGAATAATCTCAGCGCCATCACTCTACCTTCTGCCCGTAAATCGCTCAAGAGCGCTTTCAGTGCTTCGATGACTATAGAACCTCTGTGAGTGAAGAAGTCTAGCGGACTCAACAACACGTACGCTTGAATTATGTACAAACACAAACGCAGATTTTCCGTAGATTGATCTGAAAAAGCCAAAGCAGTACGATTAATTTTACCCCAACTCGTCAAAAATTATTAACAATTATTAGCAATATTAACCTAATAATGCGGGCATATTCCTGAAGAGATCCATTATAGCTGGCGTTGGAGCAGGCGCATTTTCCACCAAGGCTAACCACAATTCCAATCCATCTTCTAATAAATAAACGTGTCCCTCTTCATTGACATCACAACTCATACTCACGACGCCTACCACCAACGGTTCCAGAATCACGCTTTCGGATCCTAAAGCCTGTTGACACACGACGGCGTTAGGAAAAGATCATCATCGATTTACCGATTCAATAAATCGCACATTTACCTTCTCTAAATGTATTAAAGTTGACACTATGGCGCACCTCAGCATATTATATACTTCAGACTGCTGCCAAAGCTCTGGTAGATAAGAGCTGAGCGCGCCAACATGCGGCTTGATTCCATTGCCAACACGTTCGATGATGAACGACAAAACAAATAATACATGCATCTGTAAAGTAAAAAGATTCGTCAGCATATAAGTATAGAGAGAAAAAAAATGCCAGTTCTTTACGTACCTTCGTATCGCACTCGTTTACTTCTTTTAAAAGGGCGAATAGCAACGAAAAAACTGGCTCTAAAAAGTGAGAAAATTCCTCTGGATTGAATTGAAAATCATCAATCGCCTCCTTCAAGGCATTACTCGCTGCTAAACGGACACCTAAATCTTCTTCAGGACTCAGTGCTTCTATCATGAGCTTGTACAACTCCGGTCTTAATTCTGCGCTAAATTTGATATCTGCAAAAAGATAAATTTGCGATATAAAAGTAATAAACAATCGTTTTGAGCATAGTTTTCTTTAGCAAAATCTTCAACATACTCGTCCATTGGCCGATCAGCCAACACACACGTCTTCTGATAATTCTGTAATTATTACTTCGCACCTTTAATTCCTCCTTCAGAGTCGTCGAAAACCATTGATCAAAATTTACCTGTTGCATAAAAAATAAATTGGTTAGGTCAATGAAATACTGATAAGATATTCTTGACAACGCTGTCCTCTTACCTCGTCATATAAATCGAACGCGACAAGACCAACCGCGCAGTAGACCGCGTCTTTCACTAGAATCGCATGTAAATTGTTAGGATCAACAGGTTGATGATGCTGTCGCATCAGATCAACCAGGACCGAAGCGAGAACGTCTCTAAAGTGATGGAAGATTGCCAAAAATAAAGATTCTGTGCAAGGCTACAATGCAATACACATTTGCATTAGAGAGATCATAATATAAAATTATACAATAATTTTTAAATATTTTTTCAATTTTTTGAAGGATGTCTTTAATTACTTACCCTTAAACTGTACTTCCATGACTCCCCCCCATCAAAAACTCCGGCTGAAATAAGCGACGCGCATCATAAGTATTCTATTTAATCTCAACAATCTTTTCTTAATGATATTCCGAACAGGAATAGAAATGCATTGTTATACTAATATGCTCACCGAAGCTTTCTGGTTGAGTGTCCCACATTTCCAGATCCGCCGGTGTTAAAAGCAAATAATGTGTGACAAGTCTGGAGCAAATTTCTTTTAACGTCTCTGGTGTAAAAAACTCTTGCCTCAATTGACACGCTCTCAATACCAATGGATCTTTCGTCTCTGTTTGAAGAACAGTGTCCCATTATCGTCAATATAGATCACAACATATATAAATGAGCAAGAATGTTATAGCTTACCTTCGATAACTTTAGCTGGTCTATAATATGTCGATAATAAAATGTTCTTAATTAAATTTAAACACTGAATGATAAATCTCTCAAATGCTAATGCCTGGCCGGCCTCTGTGAAGCAGTAAAAAACGGAGAACTCTAAGGAAGTCGGTATGAGTTCCACGTAGCAAAACGGGTGTATATCTAACACTCCTATTAAAACTTTGGTCAAATGTATTATAAACTTGTCACACGCATCCATCTGTATACCTCTAGAAGCTAACGTTTTACCTAAAAAGAAAAAGATAGCGTTACTTTTATGACGTACATGAAACATGTTGGCGTTTTAAAATACATAATAGCACGAATAGATATTGAAGAAATACTAACGGCACTCGAGACAAGTTCTCGCTCGTTCAAACACGACTTTCAAAAACAACATGGCATCCTGAGATTCAGACGGTTTGGAAAAACCATTTACAATCAGTTGTCTAAGTATTCTCAGCAGTAGGAGCGCCTTCTCTAAGGCTTGCTGTATCTGACTGGCATCGGCCCCGTTCGATGCCATGATCAGATAAGATTCGGTATAAGTGTTCCATAAATTTAGAATAAAATTAAACATAGTCAAAGTTAATTCTCGGAAGAGTCTCTGACCATCGGCCAAGCGTCTAGATGCCAAAGCTTTAACAACATGATGCAGCGTTAGCAACGCCTGACGCTGCGCCAGAGGATTTTCTAGCCTTATTATTTCCAATAACGTTGGTACCAATGCATCCCATTCTCTGGGATAATCATATCTATGTAGAAAATAAAGAGATTAATATGTATATAAGAAAAGCAGCACAATACCTCATATTGCATTCCTTACCTTGCTATCTTAGCAATAACAACTGCTAATTGTACAGCTAATGGATTTACAGGTTCCTCAAAATTTGTTAGTAGATGCTGCCGCAAGAATTCTTTCTCATTATCTTGTATTGCGCTAGAATTATAATATATATTATTAAGTATATATTACTAATACTAAAAAATATCTCATTTGTATAGCCATTCTCTCATTTCTAGCAAAAAATATTCTTACTTTGGTGCGTTTTTCCTCCAGTATCTTTCAACACCAATTTTTAGATATACTACAGCCATCCATCTGACTTCAGCAGCCAAGGAATGATTTGAAAGAACATTCTGAAAATAATTGTTACATAAACAACCATATTTTCAGATCAATGCCAAGAAATATATAATGTAACAAATATATGTTATAAAACATTATATGTCCCAAATAAAGGTTTCACATAACACATAAAAATATAATTGTCTCACGTAATGTTCCATAAATTCGATACATACATGAAACTATTATTACAAGAGAAATCTGTCTTAT